GTGTTTCTCTACGAGCTCCTCTACGCGTTTATTGGCCTGCCCGAAAATTTAAAGAAGTTCGCCGTTTGTTCCTTCAGGCACACCGTAGTAGAAAAATCTTAGGTCGATTAGTTACTTAGACCCTCCGTTTTATAGATCATCGGATTTCCGTTTTTGGATGTCTTCTATTTACATTTTGTTAAAGGCAGTCCTGAGACGATTCTTGGATGCTGAAGTTATCCGGTCGCCTTCGTACGTTAATACCGCTTCGTCGAGAGCGATCCTGGTCGTGGTTTCGTCCATCGTTTCCTCCAGCATCTTCAAACTTCTCCTCCTGAGCCACCGTCTCTCTCGGGAAAGAAACGTCTGACTCCAACCTCTTGGTTTCTGAAGTTCGCACAAACAATCTTTGTATTAGTGCGTCAGAGAGATTCGAAGGAAGACGGAGAGGATCACTGGAGTGGTTTATCGATTGAACAAATCGTCAAACTAGATGCGTTTTAGTCGCCGGCCGACCCGGAAAACTGATTCTCCATCAATTTCGCAACGCGACTCGATTCCCACGATTTTTCGTCGTCAAATGGTTTCCGGTTTTCGGTGTCCGGCGACACGTATAATGTCCACGAGAGCTTCCAGACATAAGTTACGTTCCGTTCGTGGGTCTTTTTCTTGTTACTGAAGCAAAATATTGTTATTTTTTTTTTAACGTTAGAACTACCGATGATTAAAGCATGTTCTAAAAAGAATTTAAATCTTTCGTGGGTTCTTCTCCTGTCTTCATCTGAAGTGAAATTACTGTTCCTTTTGATACTACAATTATCGGCAATTGAACCGTAAGATATGTTCTGAAAAAAATCAAAATGTGCTGTGAATTCTTTTTTTACGTTTGCAGTGAAATTATTATCTCTTTTTTATATTCATTGTCTCTTTCAATATTAGAATTGTCGATGATTGAAACGTGAAACACGGTCTAAAAATAGATTCTCCTATTATCTCTGAATTTTTTTTTTTTTTTTTGACTTTTAATCATCTCTGAAAATTGCTATCTCTTTTGATATTACAATTATCGGTAATAGAAAATATGCTCTGAAAAGATCGAAATGTACTGTGCATTTCTCTTTTGTGTTTGAAGTGAAATTGTTGTTTCTTTTAATATCAGAATGTCAGTGATGAAAACGTACCCTCTATGCATAATCTAGATAATTACTAATGTAAAACTGTTTAGAATTAAATCTGTCAGATCAATCGCGGCCTTCGGAGGAAATTTAGCTAGAACTTTCCTTTTTATAATTGCTAATGATTACAACGAATTGAAACATAATTTGGGGTATGTAATACTGTGAACAGACACTTACAGTTAGAATAAAAGTTAAATGTAAGAAGAATAAACGAAGTTTAGTACAATTAAACTTGTACTAAAATGGATTACTTTCTTGAGATTGGAAACATGTGATTGCTATAATTTAAACAATATCAAATGTTAGAGAAATATAATCAATGGTAAATACCATTTAAATAGAATGGATCTTTCCTTTAAATACATTTATGTATTTAAAATTTATACTACTTCGCAAATGGTTCCAAGTGCAAAATCTTAATAATCTAAATTTATTACTAAAATTTTAGCCTACGATTAGACATAATTTAGATACAATTTTAGCAATGAATTATTACAATCGTCTACAACGATGTTGCACGAGAATCAATGTAAAAATTATTCCAACTTTTCACTAGCGAAAAAACACACGTTTTAAATATTTCAACGAATCCTGCGTTCTAATTTCGATGTCAACTACGTATAAATTCCACAAAAAAAAATAGAAGAAAACAAAAAACTGAAAAAGTAGGTTGAACCAGTAAGTTTCGAGCTCGGAACTACGACAAGCTAATTGAAACGTTACGTAATATGTACATGGTATCCCCATCGAGAGGAAAGAAAAGAAACAAACGATCGTCGAACACGCTACACATCCGTGTCCCGACATCTCTGTTCATTTCTGTACAGAAACTAGACGCATTCGAAGTTCTCTCGGGGGCAAGTTCGCCGACGTACAACGGCGAACGTCGTTGAAGCGAAGTCGACGACGGAAGATGAAAGACTCCTGAGGCAAGTTTTCGAAGGAGCCTCCAACTCTTTTATCATCGAGTGCTCCTTTAATCTCTCAGTGAATTTTGATCGCGACAGCCAGACGATAAAAGTATTAATAAGTTGATCAGAGCCGAACGTCCGGGAGAGACAGGATCCCCGAGCCCTGATGAAAAATTTCGAAGCAGACTCGCCTTGCTATCTTAAACTTTGTTCCAATCGCGAAGTACGGGAGGTTTCTTCGTGATCGATCGATATCGTGCTAATCAATTTTCAAGATGTCTCTCAACATAGTCAAAGCTGTCATACAATTCAAACAACTTATTGCCTTTTTTTCTTTAACGCTTCTGTCACTTCTTGCCCACGATCATTATACGATTTTTGAGTAAATTTCTAATTTAGTAGTTCTCCCAATTGAGAGAACTACGCTCTCTCTTCCTTTTCTTTTTCCCAGATAGTTCCATACGTTGTTTCTTTTTATTTATATTTTATTTAAAAAAAAAAAAAAACAGAATGTTAGAAACCAAAATTGGGGAAAATCGCTAAACTAAAAATTTACTAGATTTTTGAGTGAACTTGTTTGATGAATCACAAGTTTTAACATTTAAATTCGGGACACCCTATGTAATAACAAAATACCTATATTTCCTATCGTAACTAAGTAATTAGTTTGTTAAGCGATTAAGTATTAGAATATGTTTTTAATCATATTTCTTGCCATAACAAGTCTGAAAAATACACCTGAACGTTGTTTGCCCCCTGTCGGTCTTACAACAATTTCGTCGCTATGTGACAGTTAAGGACGTAGTTATAAATCTCTTTCTTTCTCTGTTGACCCCTTCGTCTATTTCTTTCTCGTTTTCGTTCTCGCGGAACTTTTCCTCTTACACCTCCATCCATGTTTCGCGTCCCGTTTCGTACGATTTAACTCGACGGCCAAACGCGGCTCAGCCGGCTGCTATTTAGGACGATTTCACTTTTACTTTTTTCACCGAGAGAAACAGAGGGACCCAGAAGGAGGTACATACGACGAGCGCTGTCGCTTCGCAGCGGCTGCGAAAATTCTCCGGGTCGACGTTGGCGCTAGCTCGGGGCTCGTTAAATTCCACCCCCCTCCGACTACGTTACTCGTTAAACGGACTTAATTTCACGGAACTCTAACAAGCGTGACTGTGCTCCCGGCTTTAAATTCGAGAGCTCTCCCGCC